ACAACTTTATCACTTGATGGAGTGTTGCACTGCTGATGCTTTTAAGGAATTTTGGAAACAGCTGGGCTGACCCTGAAATACAATGAACTTTACAGATTAACCTGTTAGTAAAAATAGTCCTTTATTAGCATTAAACTGTGATAAAAAGAAAAACTGATTAGACTGACACCTAGTATGTTGACCAAAGCAAAAGAACAAAGGCCTTGCATGAGGCCGCTGTTACAGTTTAACTTTTGTGCTAAAAACATATTTGCTGACAGCCTGTATAGAATTAATTTCATTCCTGTGTACATTGCCACAGTCATCGATAATTAATGACAAAAAGTAATTGGAAGAATACGAGCAAGACTTTGGTCTGCGCGATAATATTGCTATCATGGCACACAAAACACATTTCTGGCTATTGACACCTGTAGTTAAGGCAGCTATTCTTCACAATATTCCCGAATTAAAAAGAACTGTTGGCTCATCTGTTTTGTGGCCATTTGAATGATTTTCTCATTACATAGACACAAATGGCCCATTAACACTAAGCAAAGATAAAAATCACAAAATGTAAGATAACAATGCTGCATCATTGGCATGACTTTGTTGTAGTTTTGTTTTTCTTAAGTACCCTTGGTAACAGACACAAGAACATTTTCAGGTGTTCTACTGGTGGAAATACATTGAATCATACGTAAAATTTGATGGATCCTATGTTTATTATGATAATGATCATAGTATGAGCTGAAGTTACTCAAAATAGATATTGCTTTAGCTTTTTTAAATCGACAACATTTGCGTATTTGGCCACACTATTTGCTTGTCTGGTTTACGAGTACATGTATATTTATCTACCAACAATACCAACCCTCAAAATGTTAATTCAAATATTTGAGCTCTGACGTATAAGGCATTGTCTGGACAGAGCAGGTCTTACAGTAAAAAACTGTTTCAACTATCAAAACTCCTGTCCATTGAAGCTGTAATTAAGTGTTACATCACATGAAGTATGATTTCGACAAGATGGAATATGACATGTTACCTGGTACACAGACTGACATGATCGCAGATACGTGTATTCTAAATGGTTGGGGCTGCAGGATACTATACCCCAAATATTGAAATTCTTGCAATGGTTTTATGTTTGCACTGCAAACATGTATTTGTCTTGCATTGCATTACACTACTGTAACAGTTATTTATACTTATTATGACCACAAACTCAAAACACAGAAAACACCTCCTTTTCTCTCACCTACTGCAAAATTATGCTCCAATCAATTTAACCTCAAAAAACTTAAAGGTAAGATCTAACCTCAAAAGTTGCTGGGACTTCTAGAAAGGAACAAGAATTTAGCAGAAGCAGACATAATTATATAGAGTTGTTAGAGGTGTTATTATAACCGATTAAGTAAGTCACACTGTTTATAATGAACTGAATGGTGATTGAGCATGCCCAACGGCCAATTAAACAATTTGAAAGTGCTTGTGTCAGGTCTATTTAATATTGGTGCAGAGACTGTGTTGTCTGAAGGATTAAGGCTTGCACGACCAGACTATGTCCATGGTTACCCCGCCTCTACATTGAAATCGGTGGCGCCTATAAAGATTATAATTACTTCTAAAAGAGTAAAGGGGCAAAACGCAGTACAGACCCGTATATTAAAGGGTTTGCTAGATGCACATGTCAGAACATTTCTTGTCAAAGTCTTCAAATGTTTAATATGCTATTGTCAGCTGTGGACACAATAGAACACAAAAGGAATACCACTTGCAGCAAGTCAAAGCACGACTATAAGTGTCTGTAGACAGAATCAAAGCATCTAGAAGCCATAGATACATACAACAAGATAGGAATGTTTCATTAATAATGAGCCAGAGTCGACTTATCTACCCATAACACCTAGCTTGCCTTAAAGTCATAACAACATGGACTACATGCTAAGATCAGATGATAGCAAACCGGTTTTGATGGACATGTTTTTACCATTTTATCAGAATCTCAGCTAAAACGTACAAATCAGAATGTTCTGAAGGGCTTTGTGATTTGCAAGCACTGGGCCAAACAGAAAAAATAAGTGACTTTTTTGAAGACATTTCAAAGCCTAATTCAGTAATTGATGATCAATGCTAAATGGTCTACTACGTGTTGTTCCATGCAAATTTAAATGGCTTTTGTAGAATCCAACCAACCTAGATAGATCTACTGTGGGTGTGTATGTACAGTTTTACAAAGATGTCATGACAATTTTTCATAATGGGCAAATAAATGTTAGAAGGAAGTGTTTTACAAAAAAATGTAGTAAAGTCACTCTCAAATAACCAACATGTAATCATAATACTTTAAAGATGCCTTGCATTTGGAAGATCACGGATTTTAACCCCGGCCAGGTCATACCAAAGACTTTAGAAATGGAATATACTGCTTTCCCTGCTCAGCACTTTAAAACCAATAATATTATGTTACTTCAGTGTCTATAATTTATAAATAGCTTATAATTCATGTAGATGTGAAAGGGACTGTTGAGGCTGATACTGTGTATGATGAAAGTCACCGCAAAACTATAGATACCTTACATAAACTGAGGAATGTTTGTTCAAAAGGCAGGGGGTAGTGCCAAGATATCTCTTGTCCCAACATCACATTATCCCTTAAGCCTTTGTAACACATAAGTAGATAACATGTCTGAGATATGATGATGGTAAAACTCATTTTAATTGAGAAGTTTTTATTATTCTATCTCAATGTTAGCTGGAATATCTGGAATAAATCAGATTGTTTTGTATGGACTAAAAGAACCAAAAAAAAGCAAGGGGCTTTTTTGTCTGGGACTTTTCACAGAGTCTACAAACAAGCTACTGTAAATCACGATTTTTTACCTTCGCCAAGAAGGTTATGTTTTCAGTAGCGTTTGTCTGTGTGTGTGTGGGTGTGTTTGTGTGTGTGTGGTTTAGCAAGATAACTCGAGAAGCAGTGGATGGATTGGAATGAAACTTGGTAGGTGGGTATGACTTCATGAGACCTAGAAATGATTAGATTTTGGGCCCCCTGGCAGCTTTCCTAGGTACTGCAGCTGAACTTCCGGTTTTGATATCTCATGTTCTGTACATGCTAGGGTCACGAATTTTGGTTGGTAGATAGCTCTTGGGGTAGGGAAGAAGTGACATGAGTTTGGGTCCCCTAGCGCCTTGTT